GGGCTCCCTGCTTGGCAGGGAGTCTGCTTCTCCCTCTGACCCTCCTCTCTCTCATGCTCTCTGTCTCTCATTCTCTCTGTCTCAAATAAAGAAATAAATAAAATCTTTAAAAAAAAAGAAATTCTCATTAAATGGCCTTCTATTACATATATATTTCTCCAAAACCAAAGTCCGACTAAAGTAAAAAAAATTTTTTTAAGATTTATTTACTTATTTTAGAGAGAGAGTGCGCGTGTGGGAGAGTGGGGGGGAGGGGCAGAGGGAGAGGGACAATCTCCAGCAGACTCCCCAATGAGTGCAGAGCCCAACGTAGGGCTTGATCCCACAACCCCAAGATCATGACCTAAACCAAAACCAAGAGTCAGATGCTCAACCAACTGAGCCATCCTGGCGCCCCATAAAATAAAAGTTTTAAAATATATATGGGCTCCTACTTGCTTAATATTTCCTGTGCCTCACGTGGCCTAATAGAAAAAATTAATTCCCACCCCTGAACTCTGGTGACCAACCTCCCTGACTGGCAGGACAGCCCCAGTGTAGACCCCTCTCTCCTGCATGGGGAAGAGTCCTGGACTCCCTACCCTGTTCTGTGTTCCTGTGGATTTTCAACCGCTATAGAGTGGGGACTGGGGGGGAAATGGAGGCATGCAGAGTAATGCAGGTAATCCTCCTTTCCTCCTCTCCAAGAATGACTCCATCTGAAGTGAGGGAGCTTTCATGTAAACTCTGAGCAAAAGAATGGAGTAGCAGTGAGGCAATTAGCTACAGGGACTGAACTCTGGAGAGGGTGGGAGGGCACCTACGCCAACCCGCCCCCTGCCAACACCAGAGGCCCCCTCCCGGTGCTGTGCCAGCCAATGAAAGAAGAAAACGCTTCTCTTTCTTCTGTCTCTCCTTTCCTTCCTTCTTCCTTCCTTTCTTCCTTTCCCTCCCTCCACCCCCACATCTGCCCTGCACCTTTCTTTTTTCTGCAGGAGACTCTTGTGAATGCCCAGAGATATATCTGAAGAAGCCAGGAGGCCTAGTATTTGAACCAGTGTCTGTTCTCACACGCCTTGAGCTAAGACTGTGGGCCCAGGGCTGCCATGTGGTACAAGCCCACTGGGCAAGTTCATATCGTCACTTCATATGAATGGCACCTCCTGGAATTGTGTAGTATACAACGTGTGCAGCCATGCATGGCAGCCTTGGTGGCCACCCTTTTCTTCCTTTGCCTGATGAGGGGATCTGACAAGAAGGAATGACATCCTTGCTCCGGTGTTTCTGCCCAGCCTCAGAGTGAATCAAGCTGTGTTCCTGGGGCCAAATCCCTCCAACCTGGTCACCCTCGGGACCTTGAAACATGTTTCTGGCCATCTTGCGCCCGGGTTGGAAATGGGGCAGAAATGCAGTAGAAATAGCCTTAGATCCCTCCTCACCAAGGAGCAGGAGCCAAACTGGCCAGGTCATCCTTGACCCCCAACTCCTCCCTCTAGTTGGCTCCCAGATTCAATCCTGGTGATGGTTCCCCATTCCCTGGCTGAGCTCACCCCTGCACCTGCTGACCAGTTTCTTGGCTAGGGAGACCAGCCTCCCCTTTCTAGCTCTCCCACCCTTATCTCATTACATCTTCCCGAACCTAATCTGAGCCAAGGTGGCATTTCCTACACTTCTGTGTGAATCAAGGTACCTCCCAACTCTGTACACCCATGTGCCTGCTTTAAACCTGCTGGCCTGAAGGGCAAACACCAGCCCCTGCACCCCGGGGTGGTGATCACAGAGTGAAACAGAGCTCTTGTTGTAGGCAGTTTTGCATATATGTGTGCATTTTTCTTGGGAGAGTGTCCATGGCTTTCATCAGCTTTTCAAAAAGGTCCACTTGGGTTAAGAACCACTGGAGGACAGCGGTGTACATCTTTACGTGGTTGGGGGTTAATGATCCGTCTCTTTAGAATGTAGGATCCCATTCATTTATTTGTCAAATATTTTTGGAGCATCTACTATCTGCTAGGCACGGCTCTAAACACTGAAGATACAGCAGCAAACAAAAGAGACAGAAATCTCTATCCTCCAGGAGCCAGAGACAGACTGGGGCTATCTGAGGCATTAAAGACAGACTGACTGAAGATTCTAAGCAAAGATTCCTCCACGATGATCTAAGAACTCTACAAAGTTCTAAATTATGAACTCTATGGGGGTCTTAATAAGTTACTGATGATGTCATCACAGCAGGGGTGATGACAGTGGCCATAGCGGGAGCTCAGGGGCCAGCCTGGGGCTACCCCAAAGGAAACCTCTCATTGCTGAGCCAAGACAGGGCTGGTGGTCTATGACGGGCAGCAATGGTGAGGAGAGAACCAAACTGGCCCCCCTCCCCATGCCAGCCCAAAGCACTGGGCCTTCTGAGGCCTGGCTCCTTCAGCCCTCCTGCTCATGTCCAGCTGGAGGCCTGGGGGTCCCAGGTCAGGCCAGGCTGGGGGCACAGGCTGGGATCTAATGACCTACCTCCCAGCTGGGAGCCAGAATGAGGGTTTTCTTCCCAGAGTCAGGACGGGTGAGGCTTCCTCTAATAGGTGTCCCTGACTGAAAGAGCAATTGTGACTTTGGTCTAGAGAGGATGGAAGGGGAAGGCTGCAGCCCAAGAGAGCACTCTGGAGGAGAGGGCGGTAGAAGCAAGGGTTCAAGAGAGTATGGCATCCGGGCCACTGAAGGGCCCCAGGCAGCTCCGCGCTGGGTGGGATGGAGGTAGGGAGAAGAAGCCTGCAGAATGCTTATGGCCTGAGGGCCCCCAGATCACACCTAGTCAGAGTGGATCTCCTCTCTACAGACGTAAAATCTGGCCATGCTAGAGATGTTCCTGCTATTCAGAGGATCCCATGTGGGTCAGGAGAGATGAAAGACAGGGGGAGAGAGGGGCAGATTGCCCAGATCATAGCATGTGTCTGTGAAAGGGGCAGGAACCCAGGCCTCTGAGTTCCCAGCCAGGCGCCCTCTACCACTGCCCATCCCTGGCCAACAGACAGGTGCTCGCCCGCCCCACCCTCACTAGGAACACGCACACATTTGCAGGCACACACTTCCTGTGCTCCCCGATAAACAAACGCACCCTCTAGACACACCCATTGAGCTTCTGGGAATGCCGAGCCTATTTGCAGGAGGTAGCAGCACATGAGGAGAGCGCGTGGCCCGAGTTTAAAGAGCGAAGCATCAGTAATTAACAGGGAGACATGAGCACACCCATCAGTGGGAGCCCCACCAGGATGGGGGCGTACCATCCCACAGCCTTCAGGAGGCTAAGCAGAGGATGGTGAGCAGTGAGGGGCACAGGGGAGGCCAGGGGCAAAGGAGAGTCAGCAGGCTGAAGGATGGAATTAGTAATCCAAACTGGCAGCCCAGGAGGCCCCCCTTTATTCATGATAGCACTGAGCACTGCATCCAGGAGCCTGGCCATTTGCAAAAGTGTAGATTAGATGGAGGAATCTTTGCTTTTGGCCTCAGCTTAAGGAGAGAAACCTGTGCCTCAGCTCTCACAGCTCCCAGTCTGGTGAGGGTCTGAAGACCTGGGCCCTCTAAGGTCCTTCTGGGTTTGGGGCAGGCCCTCGGGCTAGACTGTTGCCTGATCCCCTCTACACTCCAATGTAAAATGAGCACCGCTCACCTCTGCCCCCCTTCCCCAAGAGCCCCAGAGAGACATACTGCCCCATCATATCCCAGAAACACCTATGAGAAGGGCCCAGCCCCAAAGCCCAGCTGCCATTCTGCAGGAGCTTTCTGGGGCCTGGAGGACTTAAGCAGGTCCCTGTAACATGGGAAGCAGGAGCCCCTCAGCATCTACCACTCCTCCTCCCTCAAGCCCCGGTCTGGAGCCCACGGTGGCTACTCTCCCTCACGGTCCTCCCCTCAAGCCTGGTCAGCTCCAGCCCTGTCCCCAGCCTGCCGCTGCTCCAGAGCCAGCCGTAGGGCGTGTCTCACGGTCTCCGCGTTGTTCAGAACATTGTATCGACTCAGAGCCACCAGCCGCTCAAACTCCTCAGGCTCATAGGTGAAGTTCATCATGCCATAGGGAGTGTCTGACCCGTTGACGACGAAGTCCCCGAAGGCCTTCTCCTCAGCTGTTTGTCGCTCCACACCTGTGGGTGGGAAGTGGAAAGAAGGCCCAGCTGGGGACATTCTGAGGCTAGGAGCTGCCAGGCCAGAAGGCCCCCCCTCTGCCCCATTGCCCTAGGATATCTGGCTGGACCCACATTTCCTCTCTCTCGACCATCAGGATGAGCTGGGCCAGTGTGAACACTGAGGCCCCGGAAGCAGAGGGCAGCAGTGGCCAGCTCGGGCCCTCCGGGAGGCACGCTTCAGTACGCGGTCCCGGGAGTCCACTCTCGGCACAGCACCCCACCACCAGACCCCAGCCCAGGGCCTCCCCTCACCTGGGGCCAGGTGTGTGCGGAAGGTACGGTTGACAAGGGGGAAGTGTAGCACGATGGGTGAGCGGGCGTCCTCGGTCTTGGCGAACACGTAGCACTCGCGGGGCTCCTCCAAGTCCTCAGGGAGCACCTCAATCCTTGGGAAGGGGATGCCTCGGTCCAGGCAGTACTTCTCTGTCATCTGTAGGACCTGGGCGGGGAGGCCAGCTTCTGACCCTGCCTCCTACCACCTGCGCTCACACAGCCCCGCGCCCCGCGCCCCGCGCCCCGCCGCCCCCCCCCACTAGCTGAGTGACTACAGGCAGGTGACATCGCCTTTCTGAGCCTGTTTCTTTACTTACAAAATAAAAACGGGAAAAATTCTAGTGGGGTGGTTGTGTAGATTAACGACAATCACCAGCGTTCTCACGGTCATTCCTCCCATAACCACCCCCTGCTTCCCTTCTCCTTCCTCCCTCTTAGGGGCTGATTTCAATGTCACCAGGTGGAGACAGCATGATTATAGAAGGTCAAATGGGAAGAGGCTTTATCCGTCATCTAATCCCAGGCTCTCCTTAGACCCAGGAGGATAAGGAGGAGGAGGAAGCCAGCAGCTCGACCAGAACCCTCATCCAGATGATGGAACCTGTCCACTACCCCGCAGGGCTTGAGGGAGCTGCCACTGGAGATGCCCCAGGGGGAGCTGATGGTTCTGTTGTTACCCCAGTACCTAAGGGACAGGAGACCCAGACACAGATGCAGACAGGAGCCAAGAAGGCTTTCAGAAACAGGCAGGGGCCAGAACAGGAGCCTTCTCTTCACCAGGATGGAAGACTCCTGAGGATTATCTTTGGCCTCTTCTCCCGACTCCCGCTCCAACCCATAGCCTCAGCAACCCCCTCCTCCAGCTAGGGAGACCAGTGCCACTAAAAGTCTTCACGAGGTACCCTCCCGCACATTAGAACGCAGGTCCTGCATGAAGGGCAATCTCCAAATGCCCAGCCAGGCTGCCTCGACAGACAACCTCAATTCCTCCCCACCACACACCTTACCTCAAAAGGGGCCTCCAGGGAGTAGTCAAAGGACAAAATGAGGTCCACCGCTCTCTGGGGCAGCAGGTTCAGTGGGAATGGAGAGTTGATGGCAAAGCCCCCATCTACCAGGCACAGGCAGTCCCGCATGGGAGTGAGCTGGTTGGGGAAGGCATCAGGGTGCGTAGCTGCAACAGGGACAGATGCTTGCTCTTCTCTTTGCATTGGGAACGCCCCTCTCTGTAGAGATCTCTCCTCCCCTGCTTCTGATGGCAACAGAGTCTCCACCCCAGCCCCTGGCCCTGCCTCCTAGCAGACATCCCAGTCCTTCGCCCTCAGCGCCCCCGGGGCAGCAGGAGTCCACAACCCAGCCCCCAGGGGAAAAGGCAGCGCAGGCCCCAGTGAGCCAGAGGTGCAGGCAGCAGGGGATCCCCACCCAGAGCAGCACCCACCTTTCCAGGCCATGAACTCCTGGCCAGCTACGTAGTCTTTGTGTAGGCAGAGGCCCCTGGTGAAATTAAAGTTCTCCGCGGAGGTAAAGCGGGAGGTGAATATGTCCAGCACAGCCTGGGAGAAGGGGCCCTGGGGGGTGAAGAGCCTGGTCTGCAGACGTGTGGGGCCATGCAGCTGGAGCTTCTGGCTGTCATCTAGATTGGGGTGGGAGGGTGAAAAATAGAAGTGGGGCCCTCCTTTGTCCAGTGGCCCTTATGGCTCAGGGGAACCCCTTTATCTCCTCCCCACATTCACCCCTCCTTTCCCCCCAGCTCCCAAGCCTCAGACTGCTGCTTCCCAGAACCTCTTTTAAATGACATTTTGTTTCAGGTTGCCTATATTTTGAAAGTTGCCTATGGCTTTGTATTTATTAAGTGCTCATTTATTTCCCCCTTTTGAAAATAAAGTTGTATATACAAAATTTCATCCAGTAAACACCCACTGAGGAGTACTGCGTGCTGGGCACTGTGCCAGGCACAAGGGATGTGAAGGTGAATAGGGCCTGGCCCTGGGAGAGTCACATAAAGAGATCATAAATCATAACAATGCCTCGAGGTAAGGACAGTGATGGAGGGTTTGCACAGTGCTGCGGGACTTTGGTGGTAAGACCCTCTATCAGCCTGGAGGGAGGGAGTAGAACAGAGAAGCCCCGTGACAAAATGATGTCTGACCTGAATCTTAAGGAATGAGCAGATGTTATCCAGGGAAGAAAAGTGGAAAAGGTATTCTGTGCATCAGGGAGCTCATGGGCCACTTATTAAAGAGCAGCCCCGAGGGGTATGGACAGACAGCCACCAGATGCACAGTGGTCCTGGGCTGAGTCAACATACTTGAACCCGAGCAGAGACTTCAAAGCTGTGGACTTATCATAGAGCACTCACAACTCCCACTGGCTTTTTTTTTTTTTAATATATTTTTTTAAAGATTGTTTTTATTTATTTGACAGAGAGAGAGACAGCGAGAGAGGGAACACAAGCAGGGGGAGTGGGAGAGGGAGAAGCAGGCTTCCCATGGAGCAGGGAGCCCGATGTGGGGCTCGATCCCAGGACCCTGGGATCATGACCCGAGCCTAAGGCAGACGCTTAACGACTGGGCACCCAGGCGCCCCTCCCACTGGCTGTTCTGACACGGCCTCCCCCGGCCCCCCAGGCACACTGTCTCCACAGGCCTCTGGAGACCCTAAGCTAGAAGTCATTTCCTCAGGACTTCTCTGAACCCAGCGGGACAGCCAAGGTCTGCACCATCCCTTCCATCGTCCTTCATGCCTCAGCCAGGGCCCTGAAGAGAGGGCTGTGGGGAGGTCAGGGTGTCTACCCTCACCTGTGATGTTTACTTTCCCTCTGTGCCCGTCCAAGAAGCTGAGGCCTGAGCCCGCAGTCTTCAGGAAGATCTCCTCCACGCTGGCTGCAAAGGCACTGCCCCACATACCTACGGGGAAAGGCAAGGCCCTGGGCCCTCACAACTGCCCCCATCTCAGGGCCCGGCCCCGCCCCTGCCGCATCCCCAGCCCTCCAGCCCAGACTCACCCTGCAGGTAGCAGATCCGGGGCTCGGGCCAGGGCTGCAGCAGATGCCCCATGAAGAACTCAGAGCCAAAGAGCTCAGTGGGGACGTAAGCCCCATACTTGGGGAAGCCGACCTCATGGGGGGTGAACTCGCACCACTCTGGGGGCCCAGAGTGAAGGGAATGTTACCCAGGGCCTTTCGCCAGGACCCCAGGGTTTCCCCTCACACTCGAGTGCCTGAGCAGGAATCAGACTTGCCACGAGCAGGAGGCAGCAAGCCCACTGTGCGCCAAGGCTCCCGTCTGTTCACTGCCAGCACTGGCCTCTCACACCCTCCTACCGACCACCGCCTCCACCTGCTTCCCGGGTCCCCACAGCCAGGCACCTGCGAAGTCTTCCCCGCTGATGTGGGTGAGGACATTGATGCTGGCGTAGATAGGGTAAGGGTTCTGGCCCTGGCTGACAGCCTCCTGCTGGTCAGACAGCCTGGCGGGGTTTTCCTGGCAGGCAGGAAGGGAGGCACTTGGCTTTTGGGGAGCTCCCTTCGCCCATCCCCAGGGCGTGAGGCCCGATACCCTTCAGGGGACGGCTTGCCCACCAGAGACTGGGGCTGGCAAGGCTGGTGCTCTAGAAATAGCTCTCTAAGGGCCAGGCTTTCGGCTGCAGCCCAGGTAAGGCCACGGTGAGTTTTGTGCAATTCCAGGGGCATTGGGAACACTCTCCCCACTTCTTTCCTGTTTAAGAAAACATATTAGAGCCCAAGGGAGTCAGTGACCTTTTTTAAAGGAAAAACTGAAAAAAAAAAAAAAAAATCCAGTTTACGTTCTTCAAAAAATAAATCATTCAAAAATATGGATTCTTTTCTTAGACATGAGAAATCACTTGTGATTTACATCCACACCCTGGTGGGCCAGGCCCCCAGGCCTGAGACCCTCACTCAGCTCTGACTCCTCTCATCTCCCAGCTTGTGCAGGGCCTGCAGCCCTAGGAGCAGGGGGCAGCTTGGCCGGTGGGCAGGAGAGGCGTTCGGCCGAGGCTGCAGGTTGGAACCCTTGGAACACTTTCAAAACACACGAGTGTTAGCGCTCGAACCCAGACCAATCCCAATCAGTATCTCCAGAAGTGGGGCCCAGGCCTGGGTGTTTCTGAAAGGCAGTGCAGGTGATTTTTTTTTTTTTTTTAACGATTTTATTTATTTATTTGACAGAGACACAGCAAGAGAGGGAACACAAGCAGGGGGAGTGCGAGAGGGAGAAGCAGGCCTCCCTCTGAGCAGGGAGCCCGATGAGGGGCTTGATCCCAAGACCCCGGGATCATGACCTGAGCCGAAGGCAGCCGCTTAACGACTGAGCCACCCAGGCTCCCTGGTGCAGGTGATTCTAATATGCAGACCGACCCGAGAACTGCAGACCCGCCTCTCCCTTCAGGGGTTAGGGGCCAGGAAAGAGGGAGCGAGGTCAGCCCACTCTTGTCCTCAGAGAGCTCAGACCTAAGGGATAGCTTTGCAAATATTCCATCTTAGCCTAGCCATGAAGGCAGAAGCACGTGCTGGTGAGTCAAGGGTGGAAAGGAGCCAGGTTTGTTTATTATGTGTTCTTCTCTTACCTCCTGGTAGAGGAAATACTCAATGAGGAGACCCCAGAGATCGATGAGGGAAACACTGCGGCCACTGCCTTCCAGGCTCCCCAGTTCCTGGGCGTAGTACTGTAGGCGCTCCAGGGACATGGCCCCCATCTTACTGCTGCAGACCCGAGCCTGGGCATGTTCAATGGGGCCCTGCAAGGCCACCTGGGACCAGGCTGGGTCTCGGTAGAGGGTGGAGATGCACCTAGGCATAGAGAACATTGGGGCAGTGGCGCAAGGAGCACAGCAAGGGGAGAGAGAGATGCGAGTGTCTGCACGTGCCCCACCTCTCCATCCCTTGTACCCACTGCCCTGCCCCACCCACTCAAGGAGGGCTGGGAACGCGGTGCCTTCCTGCCCCTCCGAACCCCCTTGGAGGCAGGATCCCAGCACCCTCTCAGGGAATCCACCAGACCACCGGTCACACTCCTGCCCCTTAAGGGCTCTCCTTTACTCTGCCCCCTGCCCGCACCTCACGTACCAGGTAGACCCAGAGACCCCACTCAGGTAGGTCACGGTGTCCAGGAGGCCGAGTTCCTGCAGCCCTGCCAGGCTGCCGTACAGGGAAGACATTGCTCGGGTCCCACCTCCCGAACCCAGCACAGCCACCACAGGCACCTGAGCGCAACGATATCACAACAACGCTGACCACCACTGTCGTTTAGGTACTATTGCTTACAGTGTCAGACCCTGGTCTAAGAGCCTTATACGTCTATCTCATTGAATCCTCACAGCAACCCATGGGATCCCCATTTTACAGAGTAGGAAACTGAGGCACAGGAAGGTTGGATAATGTGCCCACAGTCTTACAGGTGGTAAGTGACGGGCTGTGAAACCAAAGCGGTATGACTTCGGAGATGGCTCTTAACCATCGCACCGGGAAAGAGAGTAACTGGAAGGTAGACTGGATTTCACCCAAATCCGTTAGAGCAGGGTTTCTCAGTCTTGGCAGTAATGATCATTTGGGACTGGGCAATTCTTTGTCATGAGGGGCTGTCCTGTATGTTGTAGGATGCTTAGCAGCATTCCCGGCCTTTACCCACTAGATTCTAGTAGCATCCCTCTCCCCTGCCCTAGTGGTGGCCATAAAGCATGTCTCTAGATAGTGACAAGCGTCCAGTCAAGAAGCACTGGGCTAAAGTGGCAAAGACCGCCAAGCAGCCTGGACCTGCCCCAGACATGAGAGGCACCCAGATGTCTCTTCAGGATCAGAGGTGCCTGGTGGGATCCGACTAGAAGCTTTTTGGCTGCTCAGCTTTTCCATAAGGCTTTGGCTCATTCTGCCCCCGGACTTTTGGTTCCCTTCCCTGCCCTCCTTTCTTCTGTCTTGAAAGAAATGCTCCCTAGCCAGCACTCAGCAAGGGCACTGTCCCTCCGGAGGGCTGGAGGACACAGAGCTCCCCAAAAGCCAGGTCTGTGCCTTCTCTGTCCTCACCCTACAGAGTGGAGAGCTGGCACAGGGCAGGCAAGACCAAAGGAACGGTCTGGGCTTGCTCACCTTGTCAGTGCCGGGAACTGGCTCCAACTCCCGAGCACACTTGCAGCGAGGAGGAAGCCACCAACTTGTTCCTGATTTACCATAGCTCTCTCCCTTGGTACCGCCTTCCTGCCTGCCTCCCGGCCACAGGCTCCCATGGACCCTCCACTTCCAAACCCCTTTGTCCACGGTTATGGACCGAATTGTGCCCCGCCCCTGCAAATGCCTATGTCGAAGCCCCAGTGTGACTACATTTGTAGAAAGGGCCTATAAGGCCATTATATAGGTTATGTAAGGTCACAACAGTGGGACTTTTATCTAATGGTACTGGAGTCCTTGTAAGAAGAGGAAGAGAGAAATTGCCCTTTACCCTCTGTACCTGCTCAGAGGAAGGGCTATGTGAGGACACAGCAAGAAGGTGGCTGTCTGCACATCAGGAAGAGAAGCCTCACCAGAAACCAACCCTGATGGCACCTTAATCTTGAACTTTCAGCCTCCAGGGGAGAAAATAAATGTTTGTTGTCTAAGCCGCCCAGTCTGTGGTGTTCTGTTACGGCAGCCCGAGGGGACTAATACACCTCGCTTGGCCAGGGCTGCTCGTCCCTCATTACACACGGGGTCCTGATTCTCCTAATTTTGCCTACGGCTCAGGCTAACAAGCCTGCCCCTTCCTCCTCTGTTCCCTGCCCTTCCTCAAGGCTTCCTGTCGCCTCTTGGCCACACAGTCCTCTCAAGGGGAGAGGGTGGATGTGACCCTGGTGACCCTGGGGGCCACCTCCTCCATTTCATACCTGGCTACTGTCAGGAGCCTGGCTCAATCCCAGCACCCGCTGTAGGGCCTTGGACACGATCTGCTTCCTCTTGTCCAGAAACTCCTGTTCCCCGTCACACAGGCCAAAGCCAAGGCGCAGGTCAAGGTCTCCAGAGCTGCCTCAGATGGGGGTGGGGGTGGGGTACTGGGCAACTGTTCACTGGTGGAGAGCCTCGGACCCAGCCCATTTTTCACAGTAGCAGACCCACATCCCGTGGAACCCCTTAGAAAGACCTCACCGGAACCAGACATGCCCTCTACCACCCAGGCTGAGTCGAGGCAGCAGAAGAACCCCTACCTTCCAGCCTAGCCCAAGAGCCTTCCTCCTGAAGTCAGCCTTCCTCACCTCATTTCTGCCTTCATACTCAGAACCACCTCCTGGTCCTGAAAGAGACAAGAGCCCCATCCCTGAGTGTCCTGAGTGGGATTCTCCCACCTGCAGCCCCTGTTGCTCTGGTGGCTCTGGCCCCAATGTGAGCATTATGACTGAAGTCCAGGCTGGCCTGATCTTGACCCCCTCCCTCTCAGGCCCCTTGACCTTCCTCGCAGGCCCCTCCCCCAGCCCCCTTTTGAGAGCAGGCAGGGGTCCCTCAGGCACCCAGAGAGAGCCTTACCTCCCCCAGGTCCACGAAATGCCTTTCCTCCTGGCCTAAGGCCAAAGAAGAGAGCAGGATGCCCCCGTCACCCAGCTTGCTGGTCTGGGTCTCTAGCTCAGCACTTGGGTCACCCTGCAGAGAAGAAAACACCCTTCATGACCCTTCATGGTGAAGGAAAACATGCCTCCATGGTGGCCCTGGGACGCCCCTCTCGGCTGGACTGATTCTCTCATCCATACCTTCCCAGACTATGGGCTCACTCACCTGCAGGACTGTGAGCTTCTCCCCCAGGTCCACATCCAGCCTGGAGCTGATCACTGGATTCACGTGAAAGGTGAAGGTGGCTGGCAGGCCTCCCTCTTTGGGGGGTTGCAGGGGCAAGAACTGTGGCTTCTCATAGGCCCCAGGCACTGTCAGCTGAATCTGCCTAGAGCCTGGGAAAGAGGGCCCAGGTGAGGGCCTAGGTGAGGGGGTGAGAATGGGGGGGATGGGTGGCACATGATGGTAGCACCCTGAACAGCAACTCCCCTTTCTTTCCCCTTAGAAATGCCAACTCATCGCTCCGCTCACTCTCTGGCTCTGTGCCCCATAGCAAAGACATCATGAAGGACCTTGAGGTCCTTTAACCTGCCCTGGTCAGAACTGGGATCCTGGGGGGGAGTGGGAACCACACAGTGCCTAGGGAAGGGGGAAGGGCAGGGAGGGAGAGGGCTCCTTGCCCAGACTTTATGGGGCTGATGATTTTGAGATTATTATATTAAGTATATAAAATATAATTCTATAATAATTATAATGTTATAATTATCACACATTATTATATTAATTAGCAGTCTTCAACTGATAGTTGCCCCATCTCTTGCCTCCGCTCAAGCTCTGGGCTCACCACTTTGGGGAAGGTTTGTAGCCAGGGAGAAAACAAATAGGCAGCAAGCTGTCCTGTCCTTTATTTCCAAAGTGTACGACCTTGCAAGAAGAGAGGGTGTGCAGAGGAGGTGAGAGGAAGAAGTGGGTGGGTAGAGACTTGGAGAAGCAGGGAGAACCAGCCCAGGCTGGAAGGAGGTGAAGAGGGAGGCCTGTGGGCTCACCCTGTTCCAAGTAGCTTTCTGGGGAGGAGGCAAAACCCCCAAGAGAAATGTGCATGACGCTCAGACAGTGGGGACTCCAGACCTTAAACATGACTTGGGAGCAACAGATACCCAGAGAGTCCAGGATGACAGATGCTTCGGGAACAGAGGTCCACATGGAATCTCTCCCCCAACACACCCTCTTTGGCACTAAATGAGACCTGGAGACGTGACATGACCCCAGATGGGTGGGGATTAGAGAAAATAAGGAAACAGTGGTTTATGGCTGGAGATTGCTATGTGCTATTCCGAGGCAGAGACAATAGGATCTGTGGTGGAGAGAGCAGACAGGCCCCCAAGTGCCACCGACCTGGGTCTGGTCCTGGCTCTCCCACTTTCAGGCTGTGGGACCTCAAGTGAGTTTCTTGTTTGAGCCACGGTTTCGTAAGTTAAGTGGATAATAGTTGTACTTTACGGGGTTGTTATGAGAATTAAAGATAAAAGATGTGAAATGCTGAGCACAGTGCCTGGCTCACAGTGAGTGCCGGAACGTTCCGTGGACTCATCCTGTGGGCTCAGACTCTCAGCGTCAGAGGGGACCTTAGCTGTCCCACAGCTTCTGCTCTGCTCCAGCATCCGGAACCCCCATCCCCATCCTGAGTGGCTGCCCCCTACGGCACACTTCATCAGTGGCCCTAGTCCTTCACTCCTGGAATTCCCATACTTTGCCGTGTGACTTCAGTTCCTCCCGCTGAGAGGCCAGCTGGATTGCCGGCCCTCCAACTTTAGGGTCAGCCTTGGGATGTGTCTTGGCTAGCAAAATGTCAGTTAGTGGCTGTGATGTGACCAAAGGCTTGAAAACCACCTGCTCATTTTGGCTCGCTCTTCAGACCACGACTGGCCCGCGGGCCACAGAGGTGGATGAGGGACCTATGGCACAAAGCCAGGTCCCTCCTGCCAAGCCCAGCCTAGATCAGCCAAGCATCAGCTGACCATCCGACACGTGAACTAAATAAATGCTCCCTGTTGTCTGCCCCTGAGACTCAGGGTTGCTTTTTGCAGAGCAGTGGTTGGACTGATAAAACTCTATGCTTGAACACTTCCAGGGACAGGAAATGCACTACCTTCAGAGGCAATCCATTCCATCCTTGGTCCGCTTTGAGTGGTGAAACATTTAAGAACTGCCTGCCTTGGACCCACCTTCTAGAAATCAGCAGCCCCCAACCCCCAGGAGAGAAGGCAAGACCCAAGGCCATGGGCCAGACTCACCATACTCTCGATGTGGGGCTGTGCCATCTTCCCCGAGGGTGCCCTGGATTCTCAGACAGGGGTGAGCCTGAGGAAAGCAGAGGCCGCTGGGAGCCAACAGTTCACGGGGCCCTCCCTGCACAGGGCCCAGACCAGGGCGGAAGGAGGGGTATCTGGGGTGGGGCCCACATAACAACTTTGCCAGGGCCTGTGCCTTGTTGGTAGGAGTCTTCTGTAGCAGCACCCCTCCCAGGACTCAGAAGAAGTGGCCCTGGTGGGAAAGGGGAAGGAGGAGAGGGTCTCTGATAGCCATGTCTTCAGCAGTCCCAGCAGCCAGGGGCCCCAGTGCACAGGGGAGGAAGGAGGGCTTCTGAGCTGGCCACTCTGACTTGAAGAAGCTTCTTGCCCTGACCCCTGGAGATGGCTCCCTAGCACATTTCCCCTCTCAGGAGGGTTCGAGTGTCCTTCAGAGGCAAGGGGGCATGGTAGGCTCAATCATGGACTCCCAGTCCTGGACAGCCCCAAGCTTGCCTTCCCTACTCACCACCAGGACCCCATTGGTGATGACTTCAGATGCAGGCACCTGGCTGCAAAAGATGATGGGCTCATGGGACATCTGGCTCCCTTTGAGAGAGCTGTTACTCTAATAATGTGACTAAAGCAGCTGGAAGAGCCTGGGGAGCATGGCCAGGTTTGGGTAGGAGTGGGCCTGTCGCCAACACTCAAATGGGTGTCTGGACTAGGACCTTCCCTCTCAGGCCAGGTCAGGGCAGAACCTGGTGACTGAGAGCCGGAGCTGTCCATGATTCTTGGCGTAAATGAGAGGGCATGGGCACCACCTGGACTCACCTCTTCTCGAGAACAAATTCCACCTGCAGCTCCTGTAAGTCCTACATGAATGAAGCAAGGAAGAGTTCATTTTCAAAGAGCTCGGAAAGCATCAGAGACCATCCCTGCCCCCTACCCTGCTCAGCTCCAAGGACTAGAAGAGGTGACTGTTGTCGTGGCTTCTCATGGGCACAAGAGGGGGAGCATCTTCATGAGGAGCTTCATGCATTCAAGACTGTCTGCCAGGCCCTGTTCCTGACACTGAGAGTTTGGTGGTCGCCAAGCCAGACAAAGTGCTCTGCCCTCAAGGAGCTCACATTTTGGCTCCACTCAGGGAAGAAATATTTGAGGGGAAACCTTTGTAGGGTCAGTGGTGTAGGATAGAGGAGGGTCTGTCTTGGAGGCCTGGCCTGTGCTGACCTCAGTGCCCTGTGCCAGACTTCCTCTCCTTGAGTTCAGTTCATTGCTGGCACAGGTGGGGTGGCTCACCTGGTGGTTGAGTAGGAAGGTGTGTCTGTAGGGTTGGCCAGGCTTGAGGCTCCTCAGGTCAAACAGTAGCAGGGAGAGCTGGTCACTGTCCAAGATATCCTTATCATAGAGGGTGAGCTCCAGAACATTCTGGGAATGGCAGGTGAGAGATGGGAGCCTGAGGCAGGGCAGGAGGGCAGACAGCCCTCTCCCTCCACTGCCCGGGCCCTTTGCTGGCCCTCACTTTCACAGCACCGTGGATCCGGTAGTGGAAGGTCTCATTCCACTTGGGGTCACTGCAGTTGGCCACCATCCTTGTCCGGGTGGGGCTGGAGGACGCAGTGGGCAGGCACAGCTGCACGTAGCAATCGGCTTTGGACACTGCAGGTGGGATGGGGGAGGGGTTTTCATCGTCTAGCTCTTATTGTTGGAAAGGTTCCCCGGAGAAGGCTGGGGCAGGAGGGGAAGGAGCTGAGGGAGGGACAAGGAGATGTGGGGAGAGCCAATGTCCTTAACTCCATCTGGACTGGTTACACCTCCCTTTCAACTGAATCCTGTAGTGGCCAGTTGAAAAGACCACATGGCCGCACAGACCGTTGAGTAATCCCCTGAAAGGACCTGATTCAGGCAATGACGTCCCCTTGCATGGTGACCATTGGTGTGGAAAGCGGCTGGAGAACAGATGCTGATTTCTGGCAACAGCGGGCCTCAGCTCAGTCAGGATGGTACTGCCCCACTTGCTAGACTCAAGGAGGAGTCCGAGGTCTGCACAGACCGCCCCCCTCCAGCCCCTGCCTGCCTGCCCCGGAGCTCCCTCACTGGGGAGGACTCCCTCCACAGTCAGCACTACCCCTCTGCTCCACACCAAACACACACACGCACACACACACACACAACTTCAAGCCAGTTCCTGCTGAACTCTGGGGAGGCCCCAGGGAAAGGAAGGGGAGAAAGGGTGGAAATGGGGGTCACTCACGCAGATCTGTGCCCTGGATATTTCTGGCCCTCAGCACCTTCACCTGGAGGTCATAGTATGGGTGGGTTTCCTGCTGAAACAATAGAACTCTGGAACTCAGTTCTGGGAAGCTGGGTGGGGGGCCTGATCTCCCCCCTGTGGTGGTGCCCAGCTCAGGCTTCCCTCGTCCCCTCACAGAGCAGCAGCCTGGCCCAGGGTCACTGAAGTCGCTGTGCCTGGGACCTGAGAGGCCTTGGGGCACTGGGACACTCGGAGTTCAGCATGTCGGTGATGAACCTGGACTTTGGAGTCAAGTCATGCTGGGTTCAAATCTAAGCTCCACCATGGACTAGCTGAATGGCCTTGGGCAAATTACTTGATTTCCCCATGCCTCATTTTCCCCATCTATAAACAGGGGTTTACAATCCCATAGGGTTGTGGTGATTTTTAAATGAGAAGTTCTATAAAGTGGCTGGTATTAGTGCTTCATATATGTAGCCATTGTTACTAATTATGGTTGTGATGCACCACAAATGGGCAGCTCCCCTCACCTCTGTGCTGCTGCTAAGAGCTTGGGAGCCTAAGTGAGAGCTGGAGGAATGCACCCAGGAGATTAAAGATCAGAAGAGAAAGCCGTGATCGACCCCACCCGCCAGCTCACTGACGAAGGCCACACCCCCAGGAGGCCGCAGGTGAAGGGAAACCAGGTGTCACCCAGCTTGTTCTGGTCCGATGAGTCCCTAAGGAGACATCTTGGGCCCAAGAGAGGTAACAACAGACTGCACTCTCCTGGGAGTGAGGTCATCCCCTCAAAAGCCCAGCAAGCACCTTCCTCCTTACCCCCTGGGGCACTCTACGGCCAAGCTGGGGCATTCTGGGCAAAGCCAACAGCTGCAAGTATCATGGGGGCGGGGAGGGGGATTATTTCCAAAAGCCAAGGTCTTGGCCAACCTCTTTAATTTAAGCTCCACCAGGTTGGCTAGAGCAAATTGGTCCCAGCCCAGATCAGAACCCAATCCCGGGCTGGCCTGTCTTCACAGGGCCCTGTGCTCCCAAGGCTCCTGCAGTCCACACTTCCCAGGGGAGACCAGGTACTTTACCCGCCATTGCCTCCACTGAGGTCCGCTCTTCTCCCTCTTATGCAGCAGCACTGCCCCCAGGAGGGGCAGCCCCTTGCCTGCCAGCCACCTTGGCCAGAGCACCCAGTGCATGGCCAGGCAGCACGGTTCTCGGCTGGAAGCCTGCTTTCCAGAGCCACCCTGCTCTCCTCTGGCTCCACTCACTGCTAGCTCAGATCTGACAGGAAATGTTGAGGGTGGAGCTGGCCACTCCTGAGGACTCAGGGTTGGGTGGCCTGCTGGGGCTGGAGGTGGGGTTTGATGTGCTCCAGGAAGTGACTGGAGTCCAATTCCCTTACGCAGGAGACACTTCAGTCCCTCTCCAAGAGGATGAGGAACTGGTATTCTGGTTCCCAAAACACGGCCCCTGGTTATCATGGGGCTGCTTATGGAAATAGATACCTGAGCCTCACCGCCTAGATGATTTGATTTCGTGGGTGTGGGTAGAACCCAGGTGTTCCTATTTCCAACAAGCCTTCTAGAAAATGCTGACACAGCAGGTGCTGGGGATGGAAGGCAGGAAGTGCTGCACCGGCCTCGTCTCCTCCAGCTAGAAAAAAGTCCTAAAACCGTCTGCCCTTCAAGTCCCACCTTGCCCACAGCTCTTAAGCAGAAACATGGAAATCTCTGGACCCAAATGTGTTTCCCATCTCTTGTGACATCCCTCATTTATTCATCAAACACTGACAGTCTGCTGTGTACCAGACTTACACTAGGCCTTGCAACCAAAGGTGAGGAGGATCCATCCGTATCCTGAGGAAATTCACGGCATCCTGATGGCTATGTGGCTTTTGCCCGAGGCCCTCTTCCTGGATCGGTGGATATACCTGGATGGTCCAGGTAAACAGGTAGGGATATCATCAGGTGGTATCAGTACCAGTACGGACAGCTAAAAAGCAGGCCTGCCTATCCTTAAGCTCCTGGAGATAAGGCTTTAAAGAGTCCTCTTTTGATCATCGTAAGCCTTAGGCTACAGATGGTACGTGACCATCTGTGGACCACAGCCGTCTGGATGACAGAGAAAGACAGTTTCCTGAAGAAAGGATCTCTGGGGCAGTGACCTGTTGGGAGATAATTTCTGTTCGTTAACCGAAATTTAGTCATCTCCATTTTCCTCCCCCAGGCTTGAGGTGGAGATTGAAGAAAAACAACATCCAAAAAAGAGGTAATTCAACTCCAAAATGAACCCTGTAGTCGTTTAGACCAGAACCTCCTAGAAAAGAAGGGGATGACTGCCATTGGCCAGGCCCCAAGGGGAGGGCCCATTTCTGCTTAATTTGGAACAGAGAGCCAAGATCTGTGCTGGGGTCTCAGAGATTGCCAGAGTACCCCCCTGCTGGTGGTTTCTAGGCACAGTGTGTGGAAGATCCACCTCAGGGGGCCCCGAGTGGGGGCATGGAGTTAGCTGGGGCACATAGAGCAGTCTGGCGTCCCATGCTCTGGGCTGTACGACACCCTCTCCTGGAAGTCACATGCCCTGTACCTCAATAAATAGAGAACTCAGGATGACCACAGATGGCTAAAGATGGGGACACAGGACCAAACTGCCTTTTTGGAGCTGGACCAACCTTTCTCAAACATCCTTGGGCCCTTCAATCCCACCAATTCCACACCTTTCATGACTCTCCCAGTCATTAGGAGCTGCAGGAAGAGGCATGAGGCCCTACTATGTGAAGTGCAGGGGGAAAACAATCGGGATTAGCTAGAGTTCCAGTATGTCCAACAGAACTTGGTGAGGCTGGAAATGTTCTACACGCACACCGTCCAACCATCAGCCGCCAGCCACACTAGCTGTGCTGGATGGCACAGATTGAGACAGACAGGACAGAGGTGTCATACTGACTTTTTTTCTTCATCGTTAATTGGCTTATTCTCAATTCTTAGCTAAATCATTATCTCCTGTTATTTCCATCAAACTTCATAGGAAAGGCGGGGGGGGAGAAGAGACTCACATAGGTTGGTTTCTTGCTTTCTGATGTTTATTATGAGAGATCCTCATGAGTCATTACAGAGCTTTCATCTCTAGCCTTCTCCATACCTCCAGAGAGGGCAAAGAGAGCCTAGGGAAGGAAGAATGGAGTCTGGGAAAACTGGGTCGTGTATGTATTCCAGAAGGAAGAAAACACACGTTCTTTATTCTATTGCTTCAAACAGATGTGCCACACAGGTTGTGGGAATGGAAGATACAAACACAGCAAGCCGGGAAGACAGGGTTCGCGGGGCGGGGTGGGGCGGGTTTCTGCTGCACAGAGGGCTGGCCTGATGATTTCACTGCTGCTCCCAGGGGAAGCTCCTTTGAGCTGGTGCAAACAGGTCCAAGGGCAGCATGGCTTCTCGCGGGTTGGTATGGCCAAGTGGGACACAGCTCTTCCGAAGTGCTACTCTGCCTTCCAGACCTGAGCAGAGTCCCTGTCTGTGTGTGTGATGCTGAGGGCATGCACTCTGTACTTCCGAACCCTCCGTGGGCAGTGTGCCTGGGAGGCGCCTAGTCTACAACACCCACAAGGCGGCCTACGACACAGACCCCACATGGCGCGGTGCTGTGGTTTACAAAGAACCAAGACCTGTCAAGGCCAGGCTACTCAAACACTGTCAGGGCTGGGCACCATCGCCCACCCTTCCCACCATTAAAAACACAGTAGCATCAAGACTGAGTCTGCAAGACCCCAGGGAGGACAGGATGCAGGGCCGCTCTCCCCGTCGGTCTGTGGTCTGCTGTGCTAGACACTCCTCCTGTGTGCCTCCAGTGCCCTGGGCGGGGGGGTGTCTCCCTGCCCCCTACAAGTGCTCCGGGGATCTGGCGCTGAGTTCCTTCATAAACCCGTGTGCGGCTGCCGCGGCCACCTCCCGCGCGCTTTCGGCTGTCCCCGGGCACCTCACAAGCATGCCCGACCTCCCATCCCGTCAGCTCCTGATCTGATCGGTCGTGTAACAGAGACCCCCCCTACCTACAACAGGCCGGCGCAGTCCTCCAACCCCTGCACAACAAAGCTGGAGAAGGACGGCCAGGCCAACCGCGAGGTAAGCGGACGACACTGGCTGCAAAGAGAAAGGTGCCAAAGCACAAAGCACTCGGCTCACAGAGACCAAGCAAACCTGTCCTGGGCGGCTGGTGGGTAACCCAGGAGCGGGCGCCTCCGCAGGTGTCTGCCTAAGAGGTCATATGCCCAGTGCAGGCCATCCTGAGAACCACTGTCACACTTGGCCCCGGGGGAGGGAGGACGACGCTCCCCTAAGCTTCTAGGCACAGAGCTCTCAGTCCAAGGAGGACCTATTTACAACATACCTGACAATCAGTTGTCAGTGTACCCTGGAAACTGAGACTTCCTCTTGCTTCTCATTTTACCTTAAGTATTAGTTATCCCCGGTGTGGGGAAAACGGGAGACAAAGCGTCGGGGGAAGCAGTGAGGGGAGAGATAAAGGAAGAAAATCAATAGTGAGGACGAAACGGAGACTGAAACAGGACATGATGAGCGGGCAGAACCCGGGGGACAGGGGCCCTGGCGCCTACAGAGAAATGACTGTCATCACCTGGAGAGCCAGGGCCGGCCCGCATGGCAAGAGGAGCTCTAGGAAGGCTCTCCTCCCAGGCTCCAGGCCACCGCGCAGGGGGCTCCACACCAAGTCTTGCATGTGTCTTAAAAGAAAACTCTGCATAAACAATCTCAGGGTTACAGACACTTGAGACACTTTCCTTGTTCAGGTGATTGGTGTGCAAAGGCAGGACAATGGCCTTCCCCACCTCCTCCCGTCCAAGCAGGTAGTAAATTCTCCGAAATTGCCTGCAACACAATGGTATATAAGGTATAGCTAATCTCTTTTTTCTATCAAAAAGCTGGTAACACCAGACCACAAGTCTGATAAACTCAGAGATGTTCCAGGGCTCAAGGTAGCCAGGAGTGTCCAAATGGGGAGACACCTGGTGGTGGAAGCAGCCTCCCATTTCTAAGGCCGGTGCTCCTTCCCTTCTCTGGGATAGCCGACTGTCCATGAGAAGAGTCCCTGGCATGCTGGGCTCAGGTGTCAGCCGGGTTGACCTCTTTGGAACAGAAGTAGTGCACGACCACTCCGTTGGGGTATCTTGCAAATGCACTGCAGAGAAGGAAAACGGCTCAGGAGAGAAGACCACTTCCTGGAAAAGGTGCCTTACCCAGGTGCCATCCCAGAAGTGACCCACCCTAACCACAAGGAACGGCCTGCCCCTAGGGTCTTCTGGATTTACACAGCCACCATCCCTGTCAAATAACCAAACAGAGCATGAGTTCCGTGAAGTTTGAAGGCATGGGAATATTTCTTATTAAGTCATCAATGTGAAATACAGGGCAGATGGAGCAGATGGTTCTGCTCATCAGAACAAGTTTTTAGGCTAATTCTAACAACATCTTTCTAAAGAAAAGGATTCTTCTACTCACGTAAGAAAAAGGACAAAGCACCCTGCTTTGCAGGCAAGGGGACAGACTAGAGCATATGCTTTAAACAGAATGATGCTGGCTCAGGATTTTACTCAAGTCATGAGATAGCAGATGGAAAGATCTTTTTCCTCCTTCACTGGCACACCCTAAAAGAGAAGGACTTTCTCCCACATACAACTCCTACACACCCACTGGCTACATCACAACGTCTAGCTGCCAGAAAGGAAGGGCTCTACAGGCACGCCACACACTGCAAGTCTTTAAATCCTCAAAGCTAAGCCGCAACAGACAACACGGACTGCTCTCTGGAAGCCCAAGAAGTAACAGTGGCCGAGACGGTCAGCAGCCATGCTTTCCCCTTCAGCTAAAGGGCAGAAATCCATCCTGGGCATGACCCACATCACAGCTGAGGCTGCATAGCCGTCGAGGAGGCTCACCTGTTCCCAATCTTCTTCTTACACACCATGCAGACCTTCTCCTCCGTGATGATGCATTTCACCTGCTGGTGTAAAATCCGCTCTTCCTGGACCTGCGAGAGGACAGCGACTGGGATGGAAGCCTCAGAGTCCGGCACACAGAACCGAAGGCAGAGGCTGGAGCTGTCTCACCCCCCCAGCCCCCCCAGATGCCTCTAATGGAAACCCTTGCAACCAACTGTCAAGTTGGTTATGACATCAGTTTGAGCTACAGTGTTCAAGGAACACAAAGCTCTGCTTTTGTCTATGGGGAATATGTGGTTAACTGTCTCATACTAAAAATACAACCCCATCCTAGAGTTTGGAAGGTTCATACCCTCAGAAATTCTGCATGGAGAAGGTTCTTGAGCACTTGATTGAACCGTTTTTTTTGTGCATTTTCTTCCAAGACCTTTTCCAGAAAGATGCGTATATCGTTAATCTGAGTGTTTGCTGGTAGAAGGTTGATGGCCTAGGGACAGGAACAGAGATGGGAACAGGGTGAGACAGAACGGGAGTGAGCCTGAGGAAAAGTCTGAAGCCACACAGCTCTCTCGAACCCCAGTCCCTTTCTCTGTCCCCTCCTCTCACTCCTCTCATTCAGTGCACCCCTAAGTGCCTCCCATCTCCCCAGAAGAGCTCCTGACCTTGGTGGTGTCCAGCTTGCTATGGTGCAGCTCAAGGACCTGCAGGGCGGCCTGGAGGTTGGCTTGTGGCTCCAGCAGTTCCAGCTTGATTGGTCCCAGGCAGTGAACACTGGGGGGCGACAGGTACATCCGGAGCAGGGACAGATACACCTGTCTCATACAAGTCACATATGTCAGGCTGGCAGTAAGCCTCCCAGAACCCCTCAGCATTACCACACCTAAAAATAAGAGGGGTTGGTCTCTAGTAAGAGCTGCCCTGGAGCACATAAAATTCATCATTTTTCACATTTTAAAAGATTTTGGTAAAGTCAGCCAACTGAAGATGTTAAAAATTAAGGACTGTTTTTCCTGAGAGAAAAAAAATCAAATGCATTGTGTTTGTTAAGCATTATACTGTCGACAAAATGCTAACACAGCAAAATGACTCAAAAAGATCCCTCCCAGGAATCTGGATTTGACGCTGTGACCCCGTCACATTCTGGCAAATGAGGATTAACCCGAGCTGAAACACCATCTTTCCTACTGGTACTAGTAACACAGGGTTTCTCAACCTTAGCACTCAACATTCTGGGCTGGCTAATTCTTTGTTGAGGCTATCCTGTGCACTGTTTAGCAGCAACTCTGGCCTCTACCACCTAGAGTCCAGTTACCCCGACACCCCCAGGCATGACAGTCAAAAGTGTCCAGACACAGACAAATCTATGTGCATTCTAGACAGAGCACATAAGTGCACCTCACTGCAACCATTAGATGCTCCTCCTCAACAGGCTGACCATAGAACTTATACAAGCTGGGACTCTTTTAAGTAAAGGGGCAGGGGTGCTACTAATCATCACAAGGATGACAATAAGCCAGAACCATCCCAAGCAAACAGGATGTACGGTCACCCTGTCTCTCCTCAATACACATGTGCAAAATCAGTGATCTCAGCAACTCCTACCAGTGTCACCTGTGGCCGCCCCAAGGGGGTGAGGAGTGCTGTGAGGGACAGTGAAAAGCACACATGTTCCCTGGGGCCAGTGTCACTACTTACGTCTTTGCTGCCATCTCTGTTTTGGTCGTAATGCTTGTGGCAGTACCTGCAAGGGAAAAAGTGGTGAGACTAGGCCAGAGCAGCCATGTCGAGAGAGAGGTCATCAATTCTGCCTGCGGGAACAGCCTCATGAGGGCTCCGCAATCGGGGGCCAGCACGGGAGGCAGAGTGGAGGGGAGGCAGCTTTCTGAACCTCTCCCGCTTCTCCTCTGCCTCTCCTCTCTCTGAGGGGCCTGCTGTCGGACTCGTTGGGCAGACTCGTTGGGCGGTTTGGTGGCAGGGTGAACGTACTCCTCGGCCATCTTTGTGTCCTTCAGGATGTGCACGTAGATGAAGAGCGCTTGCTCGTGCTTCCCCATGCGGCCCAGCAGCAGTGCGCGCTCTTCTAAGAGGCCTGCAAGGAGGAAGGAGTGTGAGTAACCCTCACCACCACTGTGTGAGCACAGGCCAGGGGCTAAGCTGTTACACAACTGGGTGAAACTGTATTCCTTGGGACTTTTTCAAGGAGAAAATTGCTAAAATTTTAAAAAGGGCGAAGGGAGCTATTTTAGAAAGTACTTTATCCCATCTTTTTTGTGATCACTTCTAAACTGGGAAAGAACGCTCATCCAACAACCAAGTGCATAATAAGCGCCCACAATGTGCCAAGCACTCCAGCTAAGGAAACACTTGGGCTCTGCTCCCCCGGAGTTTATACATCAGACAAACGTGTGTCTTTTTCAGACAAATTATGCCAGATTACAAATATTGCTAAATAATGAACTTGCCCAAGAACATGTACTGATGCAATAAACAGGTTTCAACCTGGCCATCAACTGCCAGGTGGTTCACACCCAAAAGAGACTCCTCTCAGTCACGGTACAAAAGCGAATCTTCAGATGGGATAGAACAGCAGCCCTGGCCTGAAACACGGGGCTTTTTCCAGCCCCAACTTTTGGGAAGAGTAGGGAACTGGGGAAAAGAGAAGGATGAGTTTTTGCATTACTTTCCGCTGAAGTGGCTTCTGGCCATGAGCCAGACACTCACCATCAAAAGGAAAGTCACAGATTAGCCGGCCTGGATCATAGTAGCCAGAAATTTCCAAGAACATAAGGAGCTTCCGTCGGTATTCTCCCAGCTCACCCTCTTCCTCTCCAGCAGGAACTGGAGTTTTGCCTTCAAAGGAAACCAAGCTCAAAATGAAACGATGCTGTGGGGCAGCAATGTGGGGTCATCAAGAAAAACAAAGGGGATGGGGTTCAATGATATCACCACAATGATCAGAAAGGGCCTCCACAGTGGGTTCCAGTTGGATTTTTCTTAGTTTACGGTCTCTACACGACCGCAAAACATCAGCTTGAGAAACAAAGGAAATCAAGCTATAAAGACAAGCGCTCTTGTAAGCAAACCTGTTTCTTATCAGCACAGCTGTCGTCTTGCAGACAAATCTGTTCCTTCCCCCTCCCATATGGGCGATGCTCAGCAATGCCCAGATCCAGACAAGAGCTCTTGAGTCTCCCATGCTGGCTCACTTAGCTGCCCTGGCTCCTCTGAGGAACTTCCCACCCCCCTGGGCCCACAGAGAAGAGTAAGGTCTGCTTCCCTGTGCCACATGGCACCCTCGGGTCCCAGGTCACCTCTAAGGCCCAGGGCCACCTGGCTTTCTATTAGAACTGGTACCTGCAGGGAAGGACAGGAGATACTCCTTCATCAGACCTTGCACCTTCTCACAGTACAGCTGGATCAGGCAGTTGTGGAACCGAGAGCCTGTCTCCTCCCAAACGTGGATGACATGTTCCTGAGGCAAGACATGGGTCTACCTGGTACCCTCCACGCTGTGGCCCAGCTCTGTCACCCCATCTCCCTCACATTTTTAAGGCCCAACAGGTCCCATCGAGATTGTCTCCTAAAATAGCTCTTCTAAAACCACCAGGAAATTTTGGAATACAACCCAGCAACATCAAGGATTATTTTCTTGATTTGCAATCTAAGCTCATTCATTAATTTTGTCCCATAATCCTCTAAACTCTCACATCAGCCCACGTAGTTACGGTTACATAGTTGCATTCCGGTACTTAACACCAATTTGGTTGTCCTGTGGTCACGGATGAATCTGAATGGCCATACAAATGTGGGTTTGAGATGTTTTTCTTGAACATCTCAAACATTCTCTTTTATCCCTCTGTACTTTACCTCGATTTAGAAGGCATTCATCAAAGGTAACATTTCCAGCTTGACTACCAAGATCTTTCTTCAGAGGAGGCAGAAATAATCTTCTTTCTTACATTTCTACCAATCCCCAAGTGACACAAACCCCAATCTGAATTGCCGATAACTGCCCCATGTGGCCCTGGATCCCACATTTAAAGGTTTTTAGTTCAGACCAAAAAAAGATCTTACCAGATAAGGAATAGCCAGACCCTTAAAATTCTCCACTAAGAAGCCAAGCACTCGGTCACGTGGCAGAGACTCCACCTCCGGGAGGTCTTCGGTAAAGATCTATGGGAACAAACCTGAGTTCCAGCAGCAGAACCATCTGACTACAGTGCTGCCAACCACACACCTGCACACACACACACACACACACAGTGGAGGGTCAAGTGGACTGCTGAAGGGGGAAGGGTCTACCAGATGGCACCTTAGCTCGTGTGACAGACTAGGTCACCGGTGCTGGTCTCCTGATGTCTGCACAAGGCTCTCTCCACCACATTATTACACTGTTGTCTCCTCTTTCCCGGACTACTCCTCTGAACACCAGAGAAACTGCATGAATCCTACCCCCACCACCCCATTGTCCTTAGTCGAATCAGGACCCAGCATGGGACTAGATAAATCCAAGAGACCCCTGTGACCTACCTTCAGGCCATCCTCTGGGAAGTCTCGCAGCACCCACACGGAGTAGGAAAAAATCAAATGCAGGTTTTCTGTGCCTGAGAGGGAAAAGATTCGTTGACAGGTGAAGCCCACCCTGGCCACAGGACTAAGAAGGCAGATGCCCAGGTTGCCCCCGAATTTACTTTCCAGGGAAGATAGTTCTGTCCAAGCACCAGTCACTTAGGGCTGCTTGGCCCTACTGGGCTGGCTACATGCCAAACTGCTGTCACAGTTCCACCATGGGGGTACTCTTACCCCAACTGGAGAAACAAAGTTGGGTGAGCACAAGGGAGGTAGGGGACTGACCTGCCGGAATCAGAAATGGACGGAGATCAAGTCCATTTGAACACAATCCTTCCCCACTTCCCTTTCAAAAGTTGGACTTACCCAAATGCTGCAGATACTGCACTGTCCTCTCGTGGCCTTTCAGAGGCGAGTTGGCCTTCTTGGACTGGTCCACCAGCACCTGCAGAGCTGGCCATGAAGCGCCCCCCAAAAAAGGTCATTAGCCTCTTCCAGGAGGCACATGCCCACGGGAGAGTTATCGTACTTCAGTGGGTTTCCCCTCTCCCCAGACAAGAGACCCTCCCAGATTCGAGAAGCCCCTGCTCCGGCCACCTTTCTCATGGAGCCCCTTCTTCTCGTAGAGGATGATCAGCTCGCTGTACTTGTGCGCCTTCTTCAGCACGTGCTCGCTCTCCTCGATGTGGCAGTGGTTGTTCTCCAGGCGCAGCAGAGGGGCCACCAGGGCCACATTTGTCTGTGGAGGAAGCAGGACTTCCGTGGCAGCCGTGTCGTGAAGGCGCACCCCCACCCCGTCCCCCTCCTAGCCCAGGCCTGCTTCAGGCCAAAAGGAACTGAGGTTCTGAAAAGAACCCAAGCCAGAGAAGGCCAACCGGCCTTTATCAGGACTACAGGGAGTGGCTTTCACAGCATTATGCTCTTTCACACAGCAGGTTTTCTTGTGCCGGAGGGGAGTGGGGGGCAGGCGGGGATACATTCAGGAAACACTGTCCCTGTTTGTCCTGTAGCACCAACCCCAGTCTTACCAGAGAAGACCAGCCCACTGCAAATTCTGGGGCAATATCTTGCCTTATCCTCCTAATTCTCAGAAGCTCAGAGGTGTCAGGTCAAGGCTAGGTGGTACCCATCATCAAAGATTTCATTCTTACTGATGGCAGTTACCCCAAAGTAGCCCTTTCCCAGCTTCAGGGGACTGGGGAATTGTGGGTACCAAGTGCTTGGAGAACTCACATGGAGGTAGCACTTGAGCAGGGTGGTGTCAATGATTTGCAACAGCTTCTTCTTGGATTTGATGGTGGGAGTGCCTTCCATAAGCGGGGAGGTGCTAGATTGGTGATCAGAGTCATTCAGCTTCTTCACCAACTGGCTTCGTTTCTGCCAAGGCCCGGAAATGTGGGGTTAAGGCCAGGACTAAATCATCCTTATCACCTGAGCTACCAGGTAATTCCAAATACTGCCAACACAGCTCACACCTATCCACCCTGATCTCACATTAGCATATAATCTTTATCGGGGATCAAAAGAGATGAATGCCAAATTGCCACAGATCCAGTTTATGGGTACAGATCCAGTAACAATTATTTATCGGGTAGTTACTACACACCAGGCACCATGCCAAGAACTTTATGTCACCCTATTTTAAACCTACAACAAATGCAGACATTATTATCATCCCTGCTTTACAAATAAAGAAGCCAAGGCACAGATAATTAGATCTCTCACAAGCAGCTGAGGCAAGTTTCAAATTAGGATCTAATTCTAAAGCCCATGTTCTTTTATTAAAAAAAAAATCAACTTTCTTGAGGTGTAACATATAATAAAATGTACCCTTTTAAAGTATGAAATCCATTTTGACACATATGTACATGCATATAACCACGACCCCAATCAAGGAACAGAACATTTTCTATCACCCCAGAAAGTTCCCTTGGGCTCTTCTCAAAGAGTCCCACCCACCTCTGACACCAGGGATCTGATTTCGATCACTAGAGATTAGTTTTTACCTATTGTAGAACTTCACATAAATACAATCATCCAGGTTGCACTACACTGTGTCTGGCAATGCCCTTGGTCTTATATGCTCCACCATCTCTCTGGCATACCAGTATCAGTGTCAGCTAACCCACACATCCCAAATGTCAGTGGAGAAGTCCAGGGAAAAACGTGTGCTCGGAGTCCTAAAGCAGACACTGGCAACAGAGGGTTTTCTTCAATACCACAGGCTTAGGAGACATTCTGCCCCAGGAACCTTCTTCACTTGACAAGCCACATGAGCTGTGCAGGGTGCAGACAGACGCATGTCTGGGTACCCCTGGAGCCCAATGTCAAGGAAGTGCCGAGGCTACGCATGCCTGACCAGACCTGTGGGACCTTCACTAACCCAGAAGCAGGCGGCAGGTAGCTGGCTTACAATTTCCCGGCAGTCTTTCTCAGTGCCTGCCCAGGGGACCCCTCACAGAGGTCTTCACAACACCTATGGGGAAAAAAATTTACTAAGTTCTCGGACTCTGGGTGAGTGCCCAGAAAATAAATAATAGCCCTTTGTGACAGAAGTTTGTGGTGAACAGTCTTTAATGGAGACATTAATTTGAGTGTTCCCTTGAAAATTTCACTTATCTCTCCATAACAGTAAACTGGAAAAAAAACAAATCTAAATACTCCCTCTTAAAAAAAAACCCATGTTATAGAAGAATATTTATTGACAGAGAAGGATTTTCTCAATATACAGCTAAATTTTTAAAAAGTAAGCTATAGAACTTTAGTTGATATCCATTAGCAATAACCCCATAAATAAATTTTATTTTTATTTTTTTATTTTTTAAAGATTTATTTATTTGAGAGA